ATCACTATGAAATATTCACCCAGCACTGTTCCTATTTCTTTGTGAACAAATCCATTCCACTTCATTAATAGAATAATACTCGAACCACTAAAAATCCACTCCGGGTTTTCCTGGTTGCCTACAACAACTCACTATGCCATATGCAGCGTTTCCTCTGGATCACTTGACGGGGCGGGGGAGGAGACACATCTGTGTTGCGTGCTAGCTTAGGACCATGTTACTGTGGGCTGTTGTTGACCGGGGTGGTGGGTTAGGATGCATGAGGGAAGTGGAGATCCGTAGCACCTTAGCTAGCGCATCTGGATTGCACGCCACTAGCTTAGCGGTATGTTGGTGCCAGCAGTTGTCACTTGGGAGGTGGAGCATCATGCTGTCTAAAATAGTTATTGAATCAAGTGTTTACTTATGTAGGTAAATCCATCCATCCATTTTCTTCCACTTATCCGGGGTCGGGTCGTGGGGTAGCAGCTTAAGTAGGGAGGCCCAGACTTCCCTCTCTCCAGCCACTTGGGCCAGCTCCTCCGGGGGAATCCCAACACGTTCCCAGGCCAGCCGAGAAACATATGCCCCTTTTGCACCGCCCCTAATAAGCCCCAATTCTGGGCAGCTCGCCACAGAAAGAACCCTTTTGCACCAGCACTTTAGCTACTATTTTTAGCTGATTTGAGGCCGATTCAGGACCTCTTTTCGTCCCTGCTTCTCTGGTGGGACCGAGCGAGCTCAGTCGAGCCGAGTCCGGACCGAAACGTGAATGCAGGACTCTGATTGGTCAGGGGGAGGAGTCACCGGATCTCAGAAACTTTTCACCGATCCGCCATTTGCAATTTCTCTGGATGCGGAGCAGTGGCAGGATCTATTTTTAAGATTTTAAAAACAATAATGACAACGCAGTGTTTAATTCTGAAGTCCAGGCGTTTTTTGTGTTTGGTCTTATCACAAGCAGAACTGGTTTGTTCCACTTTGGAGTAAGCTGTTGGAGGAAGAATCAGTTTTGTTGTTTCCTTGACTGATGAAGCCTTCTGGATTGAAAGTGAAACGTTTCAGCACAAAAAAAGAAACTGTCCAGATGACCTGACTGAAAAATGTGGGATGTATACAAGAAACAAAACCACGAGTGCAAATACATCAAATGATGGAAAAAAATGTAGAATTTTGAATATAGATATCCTGATGCATGCTCATACAGCACCTCAGACTGAAGAAGTCTTTCGGATGAAAGAAACGTTTCTACATTTTTTTTGTTTGTTTTGTTTTTTGAATGTCCAGAGGACCAGACTTAACTTTTTTTAGATTTAAATTTAAATGTTTTTGTAGAATCTGGTTCATCAGATTTAATTCAGTTCCGTTTATTTATATAGCGCCAAGTCACATCAGAAGTCGTCTCAGGGCACTGAACAGAAACATTCGTATATAAAAATAAGAATTTAATATTATTTATCTGAGGAGCAGACTGCTTTGAATAATTCATAGCAGAACTCTCATTAGCAGGACTAGGATTGTGGACACGCCTCCAGAATCGGTCCTAAAGTGCAGGTGCAGAGCCAGGCTGAATAGGGGTGTGCAGGGCTGAGCAGAGTTGGGGCTGATTAGGGGCTGTGCAAATGGGGCAATAGTCCCTCCAGCGTGTCCTGGGTCTTCCTCTGGGTCTCCTCCCGGTGGGATGTGTCTGGAACACCTCACCAGGAGGCATCCTAACCAGATGCCCAAGCCACCTCAACTGGCTCCTCTCGATGTGGAGAAGCAGCGGCTCTACTCCGAGTCCCTCCCGGATGATCGAGCTTCTCACCCTGTCTCTAAGGGAGAACCCAGACACCCTGTGGAGAAAACTCATTTTGGCCGCTTGTATCTGAGATCTCGTTCTTTCGGTCACAACCCAAAGCTCGTGACCATAGATGAGGGTGGGAACGTAGATCGACCGGTAAATCGAGAGCTTCGTCTTTTGACTCGGCTCTCTCTTCACCACGACAGACCTGTAGGTAAATGTAGATTAACAACTCGTTAAAATACACCAGAGTGTAGGAAATGGCATCTACTTTATTTAAAATTTTATGGGGAAGGACCCCCAGCCCCCCCACATTAAAAATGCTTCTGACGCCAATGTACAAAAAACAAAAATCAGCAGCCAGCTGACCTCACTAACATGGTTGCTCATGCTGTCAAACACATTTAGTGATGAAAACGAGACGATATTTTCCTTCTGAAACAAAAGTGAATCTTGTTCATCAATTTTCTGTTAAACCTGAGAAAACATCAGCGCCTGTGCTGGACTTATCTGCTTAAATTAAAGCTTCTTTGTAAAAGCTAAACAAATTAAAAACAACTGAAAGCCTGAGATAATTTTATTACATCAGAAAAACATATTTCATCAAAAGATTTTACATGTTGGAAAATAAAACAATATAAATAATAAAACAAACATTTCCTCTATACAGTGTAACCGACTGAAGAGCAACAAATGAACAACATTTACATCATGTAACGAACTGTCAAGAGAACATCGATGTGTTTTTACAAAATAAGTTTTATCCGTAAACTTTTGGAAAAAGAAGTTTCAACAAAGGTCGATTCGGTGGACTGGACCTCGTTAACACATTTCTCTCAAGTCAAATGTTCACACCTGTTGTTTTATTATTAATATTATTATTAATAACCTGTATTTAACCACAAAAATCCCCTTGAGATCACAGATCTCTTTTCCAAGGGAGGCCTGGGCCTGAAACAACTGACTGTGGGGGAAACCGTAGTAAAAACGCTTCTTGCATTTGGGTTTTCAACAGCTTCAATGTGCGCGGAGCAGTTTCCCACAGATCACACTTTGATGGTAGCTCTGTAAGGTTTATTGTTTGGATGAGCTTTATGTTTGCTCGTGTCACAGTGAAGCTGTTAAAGCAGCTGATGGTTGTCAGCCATGTGGACCTTTACAAGTCTTTGTTCTGTTGGCTCACTAATCATTCTTTATGTGCTTTCATTTCTATTGCAGAATCAGAATCAGCTTTATTATCATTGCACCGAAGCACAACGAAATTACATTCCAGTACAGCTCGTCCAAGTAAAACACAAACAGACATGGGTAGACGGAGGTGTTTGAGGCTGCAGCCTCGTGGGAGGCGCTGCCCTTTTTGTTCAGATGAGGGAAGAGGAGGTGTAAAAAATAAAAACATATCTCACACTGTGTCGTAGATGGGACACAGTGTGTAAGTTGAAGAAAAAAAAAAAAGACCTCAGCACAGAAATAGGAACATATTGATGACATTATAATACATATGCATGAGGAAGGCGGTGAGTTTGTCCATGGACACTGCCACATAGTCCCCATAGTCCTGATAAGAGATGGTGCAGTGTCTATCAGCTGGCTCAGCTCTGACGCAGGTCCACAGATGTCTTTAAGAAGGGAGCGGGTAGGGGAGGGGGGAGCAGAGCTTCTTGTTCACACAACATCCAGGAGTTTGAGAAAGTTGGCCAATTCAAGGCCGACACGGGGGAGCCAGATTCAGATCATTTCAGCTCATCCACAGACAACTCTAAAAAAAACTTAGTCTAAAGTAGTAATATCCTTCAGATGTCTGAACAATTGTTTTACAGAACCGCCCTCAGACCTGCTGATGTCCTGCTTATTACTGAGTGTAGATCTGAGAACATCGCAGGTGATTGACATCTAATCACAAAACGTTTTGGGTGAACATTTCACCAAATGTGAACAGAGTAATAATAATTTTGAGAATAGTTTGTTGTTGAGGCAAATTGTCTCACCTACATGCAGGTGCTTGAGAGACATTGTAGAGCTGAAATCTTGATCCTTTCAAAGTTCTCATCAATGATGCATCTCCAGCTGCTGGACACCAGCTCACTGAGCAGTACAGGCCACACACACTTTTAACCCGTCTTGTGGTAAAACTCTCCTTTACAGTCAAATGTTGCTGTTAGGGATGCACCGATCCACTTTTTAAAACTTCCGATTCGATCCCGATACCTAAATCTGAGTATCGGCCGATACCGATCCAGTTCCGATATCATGATCATCATTGATTTTACATGAGGCTGTAATAATCTCCTCTCAAGTACAATTTGTACAAATATATGCATGCATGTATAAAAAGGCAACTTGAGTTAAGTTTTTTTTTTTTTTTAAATATATATAATTTTCAAATCATATGTTTTTTATGATTGTCTACTGTTGTACTGATAAATATCTCCTGGAGGGTAAACTCTTGACTGCAAGTATCAAACTGTGAACTCCTTCATTTTCTACAGTCGATAGCAGTTGGTCATTAATTATGATGAAGTTTAACTTCTCTGTAAACATTCGAGCTCCGTGGTTTCAACAACGTCTTCTTCTTGTTCAATTCGAAGCAGGCAGCCTGATTTGGGGCAGCCGTGCTCAGTCTGTCCCTCCTCAGAGACGGGCAGACTGAGCGGGGCTGGTCGGGGTCGAGTCGCCTGTTTTGGGTTGAGTAAGAGCAGCGCCCCGCTGAAGCCACGGAGCTCAAATGTCCAACGTAAAACTAACGGTTTAATGTGGCGCTATGGCTCTGCAGATATTTCACATTGCTGTCTTGTTTTGTGGTGTTTCTAGTGTAAAATACTTCCACACAGCGACATGTTTAGATGAAGTTTGTTAGCTGTTAGCCACAGAGCTGCTAACTCAGTCCTCACGTTGTAGCTGCTGCAAACTATGAACTGGATTTCCTGAATGTGAGGCGGGTCTCATTACTCTGGGTTCATGAGACACGCCGCCGTTCAGGAAATCCATTCCATAGTTTGAAGCCAACGTGAATCATGGATCGGAAATATCGGCAGGTGGATCGGAAAAATCCGATACGTAAATTATGCTGGTATCGGAGGCTGATACTGGATCGGATCAGCCCCATCCCTAGTTGCTGTACCTGAACAAAAGCGTACAAACGGGAAGTTCAAGAAGAGGACAAGTTTCTTACTTGCCCTTTATTAAAAAAACAAAAACATTTTGTAACTTTTAAAAGAGAAAGATTAGACGTTTACCATTAATGGACAGGCTTTTTAATATTTCTCATGTCAGCCAGAACAATGCTCCTGTAGCTGCGCTCCAGTTCATGCATAAAGTCCAGATACTTGCTGAACTTGAAGCCCTGAATCGGCTCCTCCTGCAAATGGAAAAAAAAAAAAAAAGATTTGTATTTTTAAATATGACAAAAATAAAAACTGGTATGACTTTTAAACAACATTTTATATACACTGGAAAATAGATTGTGTGTTATTTAAATCTGCTTCTACAGGAGACTTATCATTTATTGACAGAAAGAAAACTTAAAATAAAAAGTTTAGACACAAATTTCAAAGCTTCAAAAGCAACTTTTATAAAACAGATTGTTCAATGATTTGCAAAAAAAAAAAAAGGTGTGTGTGGTGGTGGTGGGGGGGGTGTTAGCATAAAAAAGATGTCCAGATGAAATTATTTAAAGATGCAGGATTAAAATCATAATTTTTGTTACATTAGTACCTCGATACTTGGCGATTCGACTTTCGCGTACTCACTCTTTGGTGGGTTTTCAACGCAAGATTGTACACGACACACGATTGTCAACTTTAATGTTACTCACGTGATCGGGGTGGTACGAGATAAAAAGGTAGCGAAAGAAATACTTCGGACAGGAACCATAGTTTGTAGTTTTTTCAATAAGCCTATACAGTAATGCAAGTCAAAAGAACTACACTACCCAGAAGCCAACAGTGCTTCCATCCGCTGCTTTCTGCCAAAATTCATAGAACGGCAATGGAGGGAGTAAACACTAGCGGAGAAACTGAGGTGGTAAAAATAGTTTTGCAGTGCAAAGTCAGAAGTAACGATGTATCTATTAAACTGACAGAACTGGTGGGAACGTTGCAAATGATCCTGAAGCTGAACTCATCCTCCAAGTTATAGTATCTTCACTGGTGAGTACCCATATAAATTGGAGCAGTACTGTACAGTACACTTACGTATGTTGTTAAAATGACGTAGGTTTAAGAGTTTAGAACATTGCAAGAGTGTGGGAAGGTTTTTTAAAGCCTTAAAATATATAAATACTAAAATAAATATGGCGTTCCTACTTCGCGGTTTTTCCCCTCTAGCGGTGGTGTCTGGAACATAACCCCCGCAATAATCGAGGGACTACTGTACATCTGTTCAGGTCTGCACCTTGCTAGTAAACAACAAAGTTCAGTCTGGTCATCTGGACGTTTTCTTTTTTTTCTGAGACATTTCATCCTTCATCCAAAGGACTTCTTCAATGTCCTGCCCCTGTCTCTTGGTGTGGCCGTCTCTGTTGATTCCTTTAAAAGCAGCTTAAGACACTTTTATTCAGATAAGCTTTTAGTTAAATGTTTTATTTACTGTTTTTATCAGCTGTTCTTACATCTTTTTTAATCATCTGTTGTTATTGTTTATTTTAAGCCTGTATTTTGTATTTATGTAAAGCACTTTGTGATGTTATCTATGAAAAGTGCTACATAAATAAAGTTTACTTATTACTCATTCTGAAGAGTCACCAACAAACTGAGTGAGTCCCACAAACAGCTCACTCCCATAGTGTAAAAAAAAACAGTTTGCTGGTGATAAGATGGCCTCCGGGCCCCGCCCTCTCCCCCATCAACTCCTCTGAGACAGTCATGCCAAAGTGATTCAAAACACCAAAGTTCATGCTCAATAATCCAGGTAAAAATCCAACAATGTTCAGGCAGGTAATCTGGACTGTTTATTTCCACTATGGGAGTGAGCTCTTTGTGGGACTGAGTTTGTTGGTGGCTCCTCAGATTGAAGAAGTCCTTCGGATGAAGGATGAAACACCTCAGAAAAAAAAAAAGAAACCACCCAGATGACCTGACAGAACATTGTTGGATTTTTATCTGGATTATTGAGCATGAACTTGTTGGAAACACGCTCAGTTTTCAGACGATGAGCATGTTGCCTCCTCCATGACCCAGGAACAAACGTAACGGTGTGTTGGTTAAGAGGCGCGCCTCAGAACTGACGGAACATCATTTATTTGTCTTATTTGTTCAGTCAGGATTTTAATTTCATCTGTCGTATTTCCTGCCTGAGCTCAGTCGGTCACGAAGGCACGAACCTTTGAACAGAGCAAATAACTGTCGCTGCCGTGTTCGAGAGAGGCATCGCCAAGTACCAGCCAGAGGACACTTTGTATTCAGAATAACACGACAGCATCGCTGTGACTCCACCTCCAGTCATTACTCAGCTGGAGACGTGAACATCAACATTTTTAGATATTTGCCAAGTGATTCATCGGCTTTATCTTTTTTTTTTTTTTATATCAGTCATCCAAGCGAAACATTTCTCCTGGTCAGAGTTTTAATATTTGTTTATTTCGCTTCTGCCTGATGAGAGGACGATCAACGCTAATGAACATTTTCATCCTGAACAGGTGACGAGCTGCTTAACGTCCCGTAAACGCTTCACAATATGGTAGACATTAGTATTAAGGAGCTCATTACGTAGGTTAATTAATGTGTTAATTACTGGAGATTTCTATGACGTTCTTTAGGCTTGTCTTCACATGATAGATGCTCACTGAGAGGCTGAAAGGAGACCAGGTTAATGAGAATATTCCTTAAAGTGGAAGAAGACTTATTGGTTAGTTAAATATTATGGTTAGTGACTCTTGAAGGCAGCCTCAGGTTTGTGCAGTTTTCAGTGTTGGCTGCTGAAAAGAACGTTTAAGTCCTGTCCTCTTGGACTGAGAATATTTTTTTATGTGCTCATTTTCTAGTTCAGCCCAAACAGCTGATTGGAAACACAGCAACAACAAAAACCTTACTAAGTTAGGCCTGGCTTTAATTAGGGAATCTGATTTTAATATTTAAAATGTGGGGTTTTTTTTGCCTTTTTTTTTAAAGAATTGTTCAAACATAATGTTTGTTTTTAAGTCAGAGATAACAGTAAGTTAAAAGCAAAGGGTTGGGACTTATGCTAAAATTTGTGTTTTTTACTGCAACTCATTTCTTTAGAAAGATATCTGAGAACAAGGTTACTTGATCAAATATTACATCCTCACCTTTTCATCCCTTAAACCTGATATGTGATGATGAAGTGAGATGACAAAAAGGGACAAAGTTTCTTTTACTAACTTGAGAGCTTTCTGTATGGAGCCGAGAAGACTGATTACAAGTAGGCCTGTCGCAATAAACAATAAATCAATGAATCACGTGATAAATGAAAATTATCGACCTCGTTTTCATTTAACTGCTTCATCCTTCATGTCTCTCTCTTTCTACTGAAGACACTGGAAGACAAAAAGCTTAACTACAGTACTCTTCACTGACGCCTCCCTTTCTCTTTAAAATCCATTTTAGGATCGTTAAAAGCAGCTAAACTGAGAAGCTAAGCTAACAGGCCGACCTCAGGAAAAACCTCCGTCTTGTCGAAGCTCCAAAATTCACAGTTGAAACCCGTGCCTTCGTCTAAAAAGTTGTTTTTCTCTGCAAAAAGAAGCTGAGAACTTGTTTACTGTTTTTTTTTATTAATTTTTTTTTTATTAAAAGCTTTGTGTGGAAAAACGTTATGCTAAAAAGCTCAAATCACCAAGCGTCCGCCCGTGTCACGTCACAGGCCCCCTCTCCCATTTTTCTCAAAGACAAGTAACTTAACCATCCATCCTTTGGTTCAAACAGTCTTATACTGCCATCAGGTGGTCAAAAAAAGTACTTCACTCCAAGAAAATCAACATTTCTTCTTTTTTTCATTTACATTTCTTCTAAAATTTGACAATTATTATAAAATTTCAAACAATATTATAATTTATCGCAATAATTTCTGAGAAAATTAATCGCCCAGCAAAATGTGTTATCGTGACAGGCCTAATGACAAGTAACCAGTACCTGTTTACATTTACTTTTATGAACAATGTTTAAGGCCTTCATTTGTTCTTTATCACAGTTTGCAGCACGCTCACTAGTTGGCAATTCGTTGCAGGATGCTCAGCTTTTCCCTCTTCACGAGCCGCCATCTTCCATCTCACTCTGTCCTCACTCCAACTACCTCCATGTCCTCTCTAACTTCATCCATGCATCTCCTATTTGTCTTTTTCCTGACAGCTGCATTTCTAACATCCTTCTAGATTCTTTACAAACTCCTCCTTCAGGACCACCCCTACTACTCCTTGTCTGGTAAACCAGTTTAAACCCTGCTCCAATGCTGCCCTTCCACTTGGGTCTCTTGGACACAAAACATCTACCTTCCTTCTCTGCATCATGTCAGCCAGCTCTCTACCTTCGCATGTCATTGTCCCACTCAGCTTCCTTGTGTCTACACACGTTTGTAGTGTTTACATGCAAGTAATACATTAGCAAATGTATTTAAAATTTAAATAACTTCTTGTACAGATGAATACTGGCACTGTCCTAATAAACCATTACTATTTAGTGCAATAAGTACTTACTTTATAATTGTAAAGTGATACCTAAAAAATATCAGTGTTGACAGAATTTTATATTTTGATCACTGTTTTCTGACTGCTTTAAGTTTGACTGAATCATTGGACAGAGAGCATCATCGCTCTGACCTGTGGTCCTCGTTCAGGTGGAACTACCTCAGCTGTTTGAGCATGTTTGTTATACACCTGCACAACCTGATTTAAAAAAAAAAAATGTAGTTTTTATTTAGCTTTTAGTCTAAAGAAAGGTTAACTTGAGATATTTTTCTGTGAGCCAGCTAACCTACAGTTAAAAGTTGCTGAGTGCTGTGAGGCTTTGTGCACCCATGGGAGTTGGAGGTCAGTGTTTCTGTTGCAACACAAGATCCTAATAATGTGCCAACATAAAAGATTCAGCAGGTCAGAGCAGCAGAACACTACAAATGCTGCGACTGTGAGCTGCACCATAAACAATGGCCTCCACTCCCACGGGACAGCAGAGAATGGAGCTACCAATAACTCTTAGCAGGTAGGTTAGCTGGTTAAAGTGAACTTTGTCCACCATTACACCCAAGCTAAAGCTTTTACACGTTTTGTCCAGTTAACAGCAGAAACAGCAGTTTAAAGGTATTACCTGAACTCATCGGCAGAGAAGAACAAGACACAAACTTCACCACAGTAAGAACTTTATATTCTTCTTTTTTAATGGGACTCTCTGTAGCTCCACTACCTCAACACAAAAAGTGAAGTCGAGCTGGATTTACACTCTGATGTAGCAGAGATGTTCTTTTCCACCAGGACGTTTTATAATCCGAGAGAAACACCATTCCTGATGTCCAGGAGGCCGCGTCCCCTGCAGCGTGTCGACAGGAACGCAGCAAATGCATGGAGGTCAGTTTAATCTGTGACCTCGCTTGACTTTGTTGCATTTTTTTAACCTGGATTATTGAGCATGAACTTTGAAGTTTAATTTGTCTTTTATACTACAACTTTTTGTTTGTTTGTTGTTTCCCTGTCAGGCAGCCCAGTGCAACGTGCGTCGGACCCATCCAGCACAGCTCCGTCATCTGTCCGGACCTCCCCAGAGGCATTGCACCCCCCTGCTGCTAACAGAACCCCTCTGCAAACAGTAACAGTGTTTTTATAACACTATTTTATTGCTGTATATTGTCTGTCTAAAACAGGTCTCTCTTGAAAATGAGTCCTCATGACTCATTGAGACTACCTGTATAAATAAAGGTTAAATAAAATAAACACTTTACTACACAATGCGTTCAGTTGATAGAGAAGGAGGAAGAGAACTTATTTCAGGATGTCTGACCGAGTCAAGGACCACCGACCATTCAGCAGCACCCACAAGAGGTCACGCTGCACATTGATCTTTTTACAGCTCCAAGTGTGCGTGCACCACATGGCCAAATGAACGATGAATTGATACCTTATTTTAACTGTTAGGGGTTCTAAAATGCAGTTTTTGTGTAGACGCAAGGCTGAAACAATAAAACTTTTGCTTATTCACAATAAACCATTAACCAAATCCTTTAGTTAAACATTGAAGCTTCAGGATCAGCGTTCCTATTTTTCAGCTCTGCCCTCAGTCACGGTGCTTTAGACTAAAAGGCGACGGATGTCACATCAGCTGCCATGGAGAACCGGAATAAAACGGTGTGGTGTCGCCTGTGGGTCAGAGGCAGACATGAAACCATCCACTCTTTCAGCCTGACTGCAGCTGAACTCCAGCTGGACTCGAAGCGACGGTAACAAGTCATTTCCCTTTTCAAATTTTAATTTAAATGAAATATAGATACACCCGCCAGTGAGACAGGATGAATGAAGCAGAAAAAAAACTGTAATGGTAATGTTTTAAAACCACATCCGTCTGAATAAAAGACTCACTTCACTTTGTTCCCAAAGAGGCACAATAAAAACTTTTACAGTTCAGCTCAGGACAGGTACGAGTTTCTCCCCTACAAACACTGAGGTCTTCCTCCTGCCGCAGTATCTGATGCTACAGCTCATTAGGTTCAGATAAAAAGTCCATAACTGATGTTTTATTCACAGGATTTGTCCCGCGTCGCTTGTGTTAACAGCACAGCTATGAGGCAGAAGAAGACGCCTGATGAGTGATGAGTTCTTCATATCGATGCCCACCTTGCTTTGGACATTTGGTGTTGATCATGCAGAACTTATTTAAATAAAATGTCTCCAGCTGATTCTTTGATCTGTTTCCCTGCAATACTACACAGAAAATGATGAAAGGTTCAAATATTGACTGAAAAAGACAAAGTGACTTTTTTTTTTATTTTCATAGAATGTATTGGGCTAAGTTAGAAGAAGCTAAATCAAGTTCTTAATATTTAGCACTTATTCTGTTAGATCAACAGATTATAAATTGAGAATGAGCAGGACTCGGCACGTCTGGGTGGCGCACAGAGGAAGTAGGGCATGATAAAGTACGATATGGAAAGCGCCGTTTTATTTATAGCGCGTCTAGAATAGTGGATGAGGCTCTTTGGAGGCTGTTTTTGTGTTGATGCAAATACGACATAAATCCAAACCAGTGAAAAACTTCATACAGGCAGTAGAGAAGGGATATGAACCGCTCCTGTTAGGACGTGTCTCACTAAATTACCAACAAAACGACACAAGAAGTCACTGTAACAAATGGCTTCTCGCATGACGCCTCTAACAACATCTTCAGGGTTTAGTTGTGAAATCCACCACACATACACCAGCATTTATTTAAGAATTATCCTGGTAACAAAACGTTATGTGCAGCAGCTAAATAAAAAAAAAATCCAGCTGACCTTGAGGAAGACCTGCAGCTCCTGGGACTGGGTCCGCTGCAGGATTTCTGGCTGCAGGTGTCTGAATATGGCCACGCACAGGTAAACCTGGTAATCCGGACCCATCACCACACAGGTACAGATGTACTGGCAGATTTCTGTCCAGTCCAGATAGTTCCAGAAACACTGAGTCAGCCAGTGGAAGCACATCTGGCGTTATTACGAGAGAAACACATTTAAAAAGAAAGTTAATGGTGTTGCAAGCAAAGTGACGGTGTGAACAAGATGCTCCTGATACCTCGTTACTGAAAGGAAGAACTAAGAGCAGTCAGTTTGACACATTTAAAAACTTCTCTAAACCTTCCCAGCAGTTTTCTCTTAGACAGTTGATTACATGGTCTATCAAATATCTAATTATTTGCATCGTGTTGTAGAAAATATTAGGAACGGTCTGTCGCTGCGTTCAGCTCATCTTCTGACGGCCATATCAACAAATCTAAACATTTGTGCTTTTGGAGTGAAGCGTTATTCGACAGTCGTGAAAATTGAGCTGGGATTAGGGGACAAAGGGACAAGATGATGCATGCTAATATTTACTGCTTCATTTAATGACCAAATTAAAATCTGTGACTCGACTGCAGGAGCTCAACGAGGGATTTCTACCTAATCTCAGCAAAAGACCAGCAGGAGCTGCAGCAGAGCCAGAGACGAGTCCGTTTTCCCGCTCAGAAAAACTGGTTTTAAATGAAGGACTTTTACATTTTTGTGAGTACCGTACAAGTCGCATCAGTCCAAATATGTCTAATAAAGTGGGAAAAAACAAATACACTTCGCCGTACAAGTCACGCCTATTATGAGTCATCGCTGACCGGCCGGTGTTGTGCCAAAAATCGTTTGGCGGCCACGGGAGCGTGCACAGGAGGACGTTAACAAAATTATAGCAAAGGTGTGTCTCAGTTGAACTTTTCCTTAATAAATGCACTTTGACGGTCAAATCAGCTGCATTTCACCTGGGCAGCGCGGAGAAATGCAGCTGATTTGACGTTTGCTCCAGGAGTTACGGAGCGAGACAAAGGTGGCTCTGTATGGCAAGCCAAGTGTCTCATTAATAGCCACTTTTAAATGAGACACTTGTCTTGCCACATTAGTCGAGGGCCCTCTAGTGGCTGAAAATGGTCGTGTTCAATATTTTCCATGTCAGAATGAATTAAATCATCAGATCTCAGCCAAAAGTTGGGTTGTAAATATGTAAAAAAAAAACATAAATAAGTTGCAGGGCATGCTAATTTATGCAAAAAGGTGCAACTTATACAGCGAAACGTACGGTAAATGCTCCATTAAGTCTGTTTCACACAAATCCAAGCAGGAAAACGTTGTTCTGAACCAGCTACAGACGGGATGAAACCTGAGTTATAATGTGATGTAAAAGTACCACGACAGAAGAGGGGAAGATGAAATGATCCTGCCTACGGTTGGATTTCATCTTTAGAGACGTTTTTAATTGGACCAGTCACCCAAGAGACATTTACGTTCTTAATGCTTCCAGTAAATCTAACCGAGACAGAATAATGAAACTTGTCTCGTCTGCTGGGGCCGAACACGTTCTGACTTCTACCAGAAGTGTTTATCCGACTCGCATTCACTCACAGAGCAGCAAATGAACTTATTGTGGAGCTGATAATTAGCTGGTGCGCTAAAAACAAAAGGAGCCCGTTCAAACGTGCATCACTTAGGCTGCGTAAACACAGTAAATCATCATTACCCACTCCTGAACTTTAATGAAAGTATTACAACATGAAATAATTTGTGCCTTGTAATAAAAACAGGAAATTGCTGGATCTGTCTTGTCTGTTTTTAATTCTCATGCAGAAACACAAGCTCACATGTACCGTACGTCTAAATCTCCATATTTTTATGGGCTGCTCCTTTTCTGAGAGAACAAAATGTGTTTTAGAGTTCCTATGAGTTACATAAAGGTTTATGAATAAAAAAATAAATAAACTCTGCAACCTGTCTGCTTTCATTCTTTAAAACAGCTGTTTATCCATTCTACCCAGAGTACTGCTGAGATTCACCGTAGTGTCAACTACAAATGTACTTTGCTTCTCAAATTCTGGATTTTCAAGATATTTTGCGAAGAACATTTGACAAATGTTTATACACACGCCATAAAACTCCACTGCCTATTTTCTGACAATACTGAGTCAGGTTTGAGTTGCCATCTAGTCTCTACAGTGAGACCCTACCTTATCCTACAGACGGCGTGTAACGCCTGAATGATCCGCTCCAACTCCACAGCACTCACCTCAGGTACCAACAGAAGGAGCTCACAGGCCTACGATCACTGCAGGACGGTGAGCTGCAGCACATTCTCCAGCAGAAACAGCCCAGTTGGAGCCACAAAGGAGCACGTTTATCCCAAAGATCATCTGACCCCCCACTGAAGTTCAGTCTCCAGTTCAGAGGATGATTTTGTCATGAGAGCTCGCCTGTAGCAAGTCTCGCTCTAATCCTGACGAATGCGCTCACCTTAGCCTCGCAAACGGAGGCGAGGTCCACCGAGGAGCTTTGGAGAGGGACTTGATTTAATTCTGGGCCCTCTTGGTGGTTAACACAATAAACCATCCATATAAAATTATTTATTTTTTTCTCAGAGAGAAAATGTGTGGCGTGCACACAACAGAAGTCCAACACCTGTAATAAGACCTCCAGGGGTCTGTAACAACGCTGTGGCTTCACAAAGACCTCCAACCTGAGAGAGCGGAATCTGTAAACATCTCCTCCTCGCAGAAAGGAAGTACTCTGAACAAGACGAGTTGTTTCCTTGCAGGATTCAATAAACTAAATGTAGGAAGGTAGTTAAAGGTTAGTGTCCCAGCAGGGAGACAGGAAGGACTGATGCAACCTCAAATAATGTCAACAACTTGCACAAACAGGCTTTTAGGCCGGAAGCCTGAAAGAAGACATTTGATCTGTTAATGAGGGAAATTATTGATTACTGACACTAATAAAGTTTTCGTTTTAGTTTGCTTATCTAACTCCAAATGTCTCTTCTTCTTCTTCTTTTGGCTTTTCCCTCTTCAGGGGTCTCCACAGAGAGTCATCCTCCTCCATCTCACTCTGTCCTCACTCCAACTCCATGTCCTCTCTAACTGCATCCATAGATCTGAACTTTGTCTTTCTCCTGGCAGCTGCATTTCTAACATCCTTCTACCAATATACCCACTGTCCCTCTGGACATGTCCAAACCACTGTCCCTCCTCTGGACATGTCCAAACCATCTCAGTCTGGTCTCTCTAACTTTATCTCCCGGTTGTTCAACCTGTGCTGTACCTCTGATGATCTCATTCCTAATCTTCTCCATCCTTGTTTCTCCTAAGGAGAACCTCAACATCTTCATCTCTGCCACTTCCAGTTCTGTCTCTTGTCTTTTTGTCCATGTCTCCAGACCATACAACACAGCTGGTCTCACCACTGTCTTGTAAACTTGATCTTTGCCGACACTCTTTGTTCACAAATCACTCCTGAAACTTTTCTCCATCCACTCCATCCTGCCTGGACTCTCCTCTTCACCTCTTTACCACACTCCCCAAGTCCTTGAAGTCCTGCACCTTTGTGACCTCTGCTCCTTGTAGCCTCACTGTTCCACCTCCTCCCTCTCATTCACACACATGGACTCTGTCCAAATGCCTCATCATTCTGCTAAACTATTCTGAACCAGACCAGCAGCAACGCTTCTGAGCACAGCCTGTTTTGCATGAACGTCAGAGCAGTAAAATGCTTCGTTTGCCTCCGCTGCTCTGTCGGGCTTTCAAAGGTAAAACTTCTGAAGCAGATACCTTCATCTCTGAGAACTCTGCCCATTATCCCCTTAAACAGAGATGAGAAGAGCTGAAGGCTAACGTATTACAGAGCCCTGGAGACGGATGATGGTTCAGATCTCTGATGCAAATGCAGCGAGTGTTATTCACACCCCTCCTGCCCCACGTTACACAACCTGCAACTGTCAACCACCGAGACAAAAACGACCGGATCAAAAACATCAAGCATTCAAGGTGAAAAACCTTTCTGAGCGCACTTTTTGCAAAACAGAAACAGAGGTGAAATAATGACTGTTGAACTACTCCAGTAAAAAAAAAAAAAAAACTGGATTCAATGTCAAAGCTGTCTTTTAGCACGATAACATTTACTGAAGTCGAAACAAATCAGGGTTTTTACTAAATGAAGACTTCCTGGTGTCATTAACAAAATAAACAACTGTTCTTTTACATCCTTGATGGATTTAAGAACAACTCGTACAAACCTGCATAAAGTCTTTTCGTGTTCGTCGTGTTTAATGTGTGTTCAGTTGACGCCATGTTGAGCAGATTTGACACCATGAATTGTAGCTAAAGAATACAACCTGGACTGGTACGCACAGATATTACCGTCATGTCCGGACTAGCGAGCACACCAAGCCGTGCCCATTAAATAAAAAATAAATTGTACATCTGTAGGCCACACTTGTCACGGGTGTCCACGTTGTAACATGAGACATTTACATTTATGAAAGATTTTAACCTTTAGTTAAATACGTACTGGTAACATACACAGTTATGTACAGTACAGTTGTCCCTCGCTACTTCGCGGTTCGTTTTTCACTGACTCGCTCCATCACAGTTTTTCAAAACAAGATTGGACATGACACAGAATTGGCCAATAAGACGGGTAAAGTTGTCCCTTCAACACTTAGTGTCACTCAGGACATTAAATAATAAGCAATATTTAGTCTTAAAAGGAACAAGTTTAAAAGGGGGCTTTGCACAAGGGATTCAAGAAGCAAGGAAAAAAAAACCTTTCATAAAGAAGCTTTCTGGCCTGTAAGTGCACAGATTAATTTATCAGTAAAGCTTTCCCATAAAAAGTTGTGTCTCCTGAGAGCACAGACAGTCCTGCCAATACAAAACAAGAGTTGACCACTGCCAAATGCTCTGGCATCAGGCTGAGCTTCAACATGAGGAGGGAAATGCAGCGCAAGGACAGACTGCTTATAGAGTTGAAGTAAAACAACTGGAGTTATTGCTAAAAGAATAACCTAAATACAGACATATTGGTATTTACAGACTAAATGCTGCCAATATAGCTTGGAAGAATTGTTTGTTGCCATCCATCCATTATCTCTACTCCTTACTTTCTGTGTCGTGGGTGTCACTGGCAGTAATGTCAGTAACGTTACTCTAATCGGACCACGTTTTTCACTAACGAGCATCGTATATTCTGCCGTACACGTAGCGTCGCCATATCAATCAATCAATCAATCAAACTTTATTTATAGAGCCCTTTCCAGCAGCCAAAAGGTGCACAAAGTGTTGCACAGTACAGAAGTTAAAAACAAACAAGAATTAAAAAAAAAAAATCAGTCAGTTAAAAACAAAAACAATTACAATTAAAACATAGCAAAATTGTCAAAGACCTACTAGGTATTAAAAGCTTGCCTGAATAAAAAGGTTTTAAGATTAGATTTAAAATGCTCCATGTCAGTGATGGAGCGCAAGTCCTGAGGTAGCTGGTTCCAGAGTCTGGGTGTGACAACCAAAAAGGCCCGGTCACCCCATCGTTTGTAGTTGGACTTTGGGACAGAAAGTAGAAATGTATTAGAAGATCTCAGTGTTCTCCTGTATTCACGGACAGCTACAAGATTAGAGACTTTCCAAAGTAATAAGTAAAGTAACTAAGTTACTTCTTCAAGGAGTCATCAGTAATCTGATTAAAGTTACTTTTTCAATGTAACCATGCCATCAGTGGACTGGTGCCCATGTTCAGCCGTCACTGTGAGAGGCGGGGACACCCTGGTCTCCAGTCCATCACAGGGACACCCTGGTCTCCAG